TCCTTGTTAGTTGCGTCAGTAAGGGGAGCTAATATATGTGTGTGACATAATGCTTCTTATCATATCAAAAAGTGCAACTTCAAGGAAGGGGAAAGGGCAAAATCTTGGGTCAAACGATAAACGATTTAAAAAAGAGGCAAAACGTTGAGCCAAATGATAACTGATTTTATCTGACGTCATTTCCCCAACTTCTCACACCTTCCCACTGAACACCTAAAAGTGATTAATTTGCTCGCAAAATGTAAAATGAAAATTTCTTCTGGAAGCCTGACGGGTTGATCACCAAAGCTGTTTTCAATTATAAATTCTTGCTAGTCAGACAAGAATTAGAGAGAATATATAAAAAATACTATGGGAACTTCGGTCCATATTGCAAGTCTTTGCATGCACAGTCTGCTTGGGTCAGGATATTCGTTGTGTCAGGAGGGGTTCGGTGCAGCACCAACTCCCTTTTCACCAGATATTGTCGCTTGCCCTCTTCTGTAAATGGAGGAGAACGGGCTGGCTCCGCGCCAGACCAAGCCTCCCCCCCTGACACTACGCAGCATCGACAACGAGCAAATATGTGTAACGAATCCTCCACAAGTGTTTTCCCTCACGTAATTCAGGATGATAATTACCACTCAAGAGCACACTCCATTGCTGTATGTACCAGTGCCGTCAACCATTGTGTCGTTCTCCTGCTCAAAAAAGCAAAAACAACAGGCGTCCAATAAGAAAGAAAATGATCGACTGTCTCCGCCCACACCACCAGCGTGCATGCTCCGCTGAATGTTAGCAAGAACCACTTAAGCTCTTTGAAGGGCGAAATTCGCATAAACATTAAAGTCTCGAATTGAGCTGCTCAACTTGAGGGGGAGTGCATTATGCACTTCAAAAGTCATGCTATTGCAAAGGTCCAGGAACTTACAGGTCTCCACAATAGGGTCGGTAGTGATCTATGGAAGCCAGCAAAACGTCCCTGCCAAGCCCAGTTGCTGGAAAAACCGCTCGTGTTAACATCCAACCGCTCCTTTCTGATTAATCCAAATGAGTTGGAAGTTTTTACTTGTCTTCTGTTCGCTGAAGTGCCCGCAGCTCTGTTCGTGTCCTCTCGGATCGCAAAGGAGCGCAGCATACAAAACAACGGTATTTACCCCATGCGTTTATTGGACCCCTAAGCACAACAACAGTCTATAAGTCGTTGGCAGACTAAAAACGAATGGCTATCGAGCTGTCTCCGAGTATACTGCACACAGCAGCACGGGAGAAAATGGATTAAAGGCACAGTTCGCGACCGCAAATTGCGGGAAACGGAACTCAAATAGGCACAAAAAAGTGCTAAGTATCTGATTAGCGGAGAAAAGCAGCAGAAAAAGCAGTCCGAAATGTTATAGAGAAAGATAACATAGTGGCTACTAGCTAGTAGCAGCCGGTGAGGGTCGGCATGGGCCTAAGGGGTGTCCATGGGCCTAATTAGTCAGCTTCTAGCGGAGTTCTTGCCGTTTTTCACATTTTGAAAGTAGCGCAGCCTCAAAAATCGCCTTCCGGATCGTCCGACACATTTGAGAGGTCATAGCCTTATTTTATCGCGGATGTGCCTTGAGGATGGCTTGCGTCGTTCTGGTAGCGCAATTCCATGGTGTGAAGCAGGCTCTCTGCGTGGAAGGAACATTATGTGAAGTTGCAACGGAATCGTCATTTCCAGAGGCCTTAAGGGCGGACTTCGTTAGGAGCCAGCGAGAAGTTCGTAGATAGTCGGCTTGAGAAACAGAATTGTAACTGCTATTCGACTTTCTTGTAGAGAAAAAAAGGGAAGGAAACCACTGAAAAGGCTTCAAATAAGGATTACTTGTGCCACGTTGAAAAAGAGGTGGATATCAGGAGAGAGAGAGAGGCCAGAGAAAGCAATGAAAGTGAGCATGCAAACGAGGGAGAGTGTAGGTAAGACAACTACCAACTTGGGCAGAATCACTTGAGCAACCTTGCGCCTCACCACTTTCTGATGTGAACCCTAGCAACCACGGGTTATTCGTTGCAGTTCACAGTACCTCTACCCACAAATAGAATAGATATTTATAAGTTCATATATAGCTAATTACAAGCAGGGTACAACATCGTTGCATGAAACACACAAGGGATCGTACTTTTCGGCTGGGGACCGGACCGGGGATCGTATTTGGACGTTGTTGCGAGACGAGGGGGGGGGGTCATATGTGGCATTGAGAGGAGTTCAACGCATCGGAAAAAAATTTCTGGTTGTTGGCTTTTCGTGATGTTTCCTGTTTTATGTGTACTATATTCCCCGCTCGACGGAAATTTCTAGGTGGAGAACTGGAAAATAAGGGAATTTGCTAGGTAGGTGTTGGGGGAGGCGGTCATACTTACTTCACCACTTCACACATCACGATGCTGTGCCCTCAACCAGTCACGAGCGGGACTTACTATGGCCTTTCCCTACTGTAACACGGAAGCGCACGCAACAATGATAACCTCGTAGCAGCAATGCTTTACGAACGGCCGGAGGTTCCTGGAAATTGATGGACCCTCGACAAGGTTGTTCATACGGAGATGTCCGGCAGAAATCCAGAACGCCTCTGATGGTTTCCTGGTCAACAACACACTTCCAGGCAACAGCACACTTCAACAAATCCGTTAATGGCGCTCATTTTGGGGTGAGAGCCAGATGAGCATGACCAGGAAGGCAAATCAGGGTCGTAGCGCACTTGTCTACCAGTTTCGAGTCGCGAAGTAAGATGACTGTGGACCAATCTCTTCACTGAACGAAAAAAACCTCTTCACTCACTATTAACTATTTGTGGAATGTGTTCATAACGTCACTATCCCTGCTGCGGTAGATTTTTTACCAAAAGAAATGTTTTCCTCCCCCAGAGTGATGAGTCATTCGGACAAAGTATAGTAAAAGCTATGCAATTGATAAGGGAAATGACCTCAAAGAAAATTGTACACCCACGTCCAAGGGTGGTCTTCGCCATGTGTGGAAAAAAAACGGGTTGACGGCTGTGCAGCTTCATGCTAACACCTTTTTCACTTGAGAGCGCGTGGGAGAGAGGCTAAAGAGTAATAATATAGGAGTGCTTGCGCTTAGGTAGTTACCAAAACATGGCAGTACAAACGCTGTCAGGGGTATAAAACGAACATAAGGGGATAAAGAATAAACATTACATAACACGAAGAACAGGACGCAGACAAGTAGCGTGTTTGGCTATGGTTAGGCATGCGGCTGGTCGTGCGGCAGCGCTGATCGACTCCGGAAACGACATCCGGGTATCAACACGATGTGGCCATTCCCGTGCACTTTTCGAAGAAGGAAGTGCCCTATTATCGCGGCTGCGGACCCGCTCGCCTGCACAAGGCAAGAACCGGGACCGCACAGTTCCGCATCGAAGCATTCCTTCAATAGTGATGGAATTCTGCAAGATCTTCAATGACATGCTGGGCTTAGTCGACGGTCTCCGAGACGTCAGACCATTTTTAGCTGTCAATCAAGTAAAAAAATATTTAAGCCGATGAAAAAAATTAAATTCTTAAATTGATAAGGAACAAAGGAGATAAAGACATTCGATCACTGGTCTCATCAGTGTTCTGACCTCTAATCGCTATAATCAAGCCAAATGGCGTTTGGTCGCTAAATGATCATTTTCGGAATGTGCCACGTACTCTCGGGAAGCATGCTTTCGCACAGAACTGCAGTGGCTGATTGAATGCGATGTGGTCCAATGGCCCAGACGGGAAGGGGGATGCGCTGATGTATGATGACTCGATGATTAAGTCACAGCGCGCGCCATTAGTTGGGAATTTTGATCAAGTCCGCACGACCCCTTTTTCAGAGGTTTGTTACTCCACCCCCTCTTTTACCCCCTCCCAACAACGAGCAAATACGACCTCTGTTCACAACGGCATTGAAACAAAAAAAAACAACCATCAAACAAATCCTTCTCAGCGCAAATGCGACGCCCGCTCCCAGCGACCAAAAACAACCCGACTCCTCTCCCCGCTTGGGAATCCCTAGCAACGATTCGCCCTGTTCCATGGTGCCCGACAAGCCTGCTATCATCTGAACGACCTCAGATGGATGGAATGCTCGGGCAGCCTCTTCATGAGCTAATCAAGGATTGGACTCACGACCAAAGGTACTGTACCACCACACCAACCAAACACCGAATGACAGATTTACTGGATGAGTCCGACCTCGAACTGATGTGCCATTTTTAATGCCCCAGAAGCATACAAGTGAAAAAACAAACGAATAAATAAGTATTACGATTTCGTACGTAACGGGATAAGTTGTCAGCAAGCCCCAGTAGTGCCCTCTCTTTTTTTGCGTTCTGATCCAAGGACCAGGACCTCGTGATCACCTGGCACAAAGATGGTCCCATATCTCATTCCTGCTTCCTGCTACTACTGTCTCTTCGTTATCTTGATTATTGTTATTCATAACTTTTTTTATTTTCTTTCATTCTCACTATATCATTCTGCAATACAGTTAGTTTCGTTTGTAAGTTTGTTCTTCTGAACTATGCGGCTTCTGGTGTATTTGAATGAATATTAACAATAAATAAATAAGTAAATAATATATGAATAGGCGATTGATTAAGTTAATTCCACTACAGTATCCCACATCGGTCAAGGATAGCCAAAAATAGAAAAGCCCTATGAGTGGCTGGGCTATTTCTATTCGTTTTAGAATAGCACTGGGATTTCGAATCCGTACGAACAATTCAACACGTGCTGAGAATGGTACGTTGTTGCGGACGCATGCTTGGTGTTTTTACCTGTCTCCATAAACCAGGTAGTGATTGGCTCTTCCTGGACAACTGATAAGAGTAAAGCGGCCCGACAAGGCCATTTGATCAGATGCTTGACTGATCAGCTTTAACTCGAAAAGTACTTCCTGCCATTCAGAAACAAATCACACGATTTCAGCATCACAGACCAGAAAGCAGGCGTTGCTCGTATAAAAGGGCATTCTCGGTGTTATTACGGAAACTCTCAGCCCCATGTTTCCTCTACTACTCTCGGCTACCGTACTTCTCGCACAAGTGCACTGCTTTCCATGGTGGACCCAGTATGATCCCGAAATCAAAATGACAGTGGTAAGAGGTCCATTTTGCCTTTTTCCTTTGACTGTTCGAGCGCTAGATGAGGTTTAGCCTGAGATCATCCGACACTGGGGTTATCCCGTGGAGGTCCACTATGCCGTTACACAGGACGGATACATTCTTGAATTGCACCGAATTCCTTATGGAAAAGCTGGTAAGTGCTATCGTTCACTACAACTAACCCATAAACAAAGCTATAAACAATTCAGGACCCACCTCCAATACCTCACGTCCTGTAGTGTTCCTGCAGCACGGTTTGGAGAGCAGTAGTAGTGACTGGGTGGTGAACCTTCCCGAGCAGGCTGCAGGTAAGAAACCATGACCTAGAAATGCGAAATTTCCTATGCCCGATGCACTTCTATTATTGACTAGAAGGGTTCTACCGAGTCCTCTAATTGAACAATACTGACTAGTAGAATTCATGACGTAAGTTATCGGTAGATTACGCTTTCCCAACGAACTCTAACGTTTCAATGGAAATTTGCATCGGTTACACCACAGACGGAACCTGTCGAATCCTTCCAGTTCGTTGGTACCGATCACAGTTTACTCGCCTTCCCCCACTGAAGTAATTAGCTTTGCCGATATCAGTAGCTGTTCACGTTCAAAGAGGACGCACAGACATTTGTGGGCGAGCGGGTGCGGTGGGCGTCCGGGCTGATATGTAGCAGCTTGAAAGGGCCTTGGTACCTCTTTTGGAAGAGGCAGCGCTTGTTGAGGGGCGCGGGGTTCTGCCCTGCAAGCCGTATTGACCCTACCTATCGATCTTGTCGTGCCACCTCCCTGTAAGTATAACACGAGTGGAGTCCTCGGAAAAGAGTGTACCGTTGCTCTCAAACGGAACAACTATTGGGTTCGCCCAAAAGTAGGCTTTTTCCGTAACTTGAAATTTTCATCAGAGTCCAAAGCTGGATATGGATTTCTGCATACGTTTCGCAGTCTTCTCACCTTTTCTGAGGGTCTACTTTCTTGGTTTTCAAGTGACTGAAGTGAAGTGTCAAGTCGTCAATAATGAAGGCGTTTCACCTTTAACGTCCAAAGGCATGTGGCGCATCAATTTGGAACTTGCTCAAAAATAGTAGCAGGTATGCGACATAACCGGGAAATAACGAAAAATCAAGGTGAAAGTTTTGTAAAAAGCCTTTGTTCTGTACGGCATTGGACGAGCATTTTTGGACGAGTCTCCCGTCGGCATCTTGCCAATAACCCCTTTATGAGTCTGCACGTATGTCTTCATATATCCATGAAACAACGCTTTGTATCAATTGTACTTTATGAATGAGGGTATAAGAGTGACTGTATGGCCATTTGTGGGGCGGGGGTAGATTTGCATGGGGTTGTGTCAGTATGCTGCACTTTGAAGGCTCTGTAAAAGACCTTCAAGCATGCTATCATAGAGAGCATAAAATTCGTTGCTGAAAGGTGCGAATGCGGCAAATTCATCTTTCCAAATTTTTAAGTTGGAAAACCACTCACGAGCCAACCCAATAGAAGTCATAAAAAGACCTCTAGTCATTCTTTTGATCTTTGGGATTTTGATTGTTATCTGGCGACGTTTCCGCCTCTATCAGAAATGCACTTTCGGTCAAATAGGGCAAAAACCCTGTGGCGAAAGACCACAGCTGTAGCTTCATTGCCGTGCACGTGACAACAAATACCAAAGGAAACATGGATGGATGAGAAGGGGAGGGGGGGGGAGACACGCGACTGTGGAAGTTGAGCTGTCTAGACGGGGTAGCGATACGTCACACCATGACGTTCAACGCTGTGATGGATGCATATTTAGGAAGCGTTGTGCCTATTTTGTGGCTACTAGAAACCCAAACCATGATCTGGTGACTCTATCATTTTATCACATTATTTGAGCAAGAGCTTCGCCATGCCCTGTTGGCAACGGATGCTGGAGGTGTGCTGTCAGGGACGAGGGGGGGGGCTGGTGGAGCACCGACTCCCCATTTTCCACCAGTTATTGTCGCTTACCTGCTCCAAGAAGTGGTGGAGAATTTGAAGGGGCCGCGCCAAAAAGAGCCTTACTAACGCGGCCCACCATCCGCAGTGGTACTGTAACAATCCCCTTATGAGGCCTCACCTTAAAGAAAGAATCAACTGTTTCTGCTCTTGTCGTGAAATAAGGCTCTATACTTCAACGACGGGGACGTATGCGCAATAAAAGATAACTATACAACCCTTTTGTGGTCGTATAACTGGTACAAAGGTCTTTGACCGACATTATGCTAGTATAACGAAGGACTCACCCCATTAGTCGTACTGTGAGTTCGCCACGCTTTCAAATGTGTACATAATAGTGAACAGCAACATAGTGCATGGCGCATATCAATCACCTAAAATACGTGACTTCGAAGGCAGACTTCGCGATGAGCCAGCTAAAAATTTGTAGGTAGCGGGGTTACAAACAGAAGTATATGCGCTTGTTGATTTGCACATGAAAAAAGAAGGAGAGGAAACCGATCAGAGTGTTTCAACTAAGACCCTAGTCGTGCCAAACTAGAGAAAAAGAATCGATGTGGTCACTGAGTGAGAGGCTAGAGAAAGCAGTGAGAGGGCATGTAAATGAGCAAGACAGCAGATAAGTCATCTGTCGATTCGGACGCAGTCACTGATTTTTTGGCAGATTTGAGCAACTTTGTATTTTACCGCCGCTACTTTACCAGATCTTACACAAGATTGTTCGCTGCAGCCCACAAAACCCCCCTCACCCACTGGCAGCTTGGGTAGTTAGGAGAGATCAAGAACTCTGTCTTTAATTAACCTTTTTCAGGATTCGTCCTTGCTGATGCCGGATTCGATGTCTGGATGGGAAACATGCGAGGAAACAAATACTCCAGAAATCATATTCATTTGAATCCACTGTTCAGCGGCTTCTGGGACTTCACGTGAGTATGAACAAAACCTTCAGAACAATTTACCCAACCTTTTAGAATTTGAGCTCAACTTTTCCTTTAAATTTGTTCAAAAAACTCCCAGGGCGGTATGACCCTTCAAGCAGAGCTACCTCTTCTGGTGCTACGGGTACTCTTATCATCCACACTGCAGACGTCTTAGGTTGCCAGTCGTAGTAACAGTCGTAGGAACAGTCCATATCTGACCGCAGCAAGAGGCGTGGCTACAACAGCGGCCAGTCTGACAAATGAGAAGCAGGCACTCAGGTGTAAGTGAGGAGTCGGCACGGGAGTACGCAACGACGGGAGGACGAAGAGGGGCGTGGTCGGACGAGTTCTCACTTTGTGGTGCCGACTTTTCCTTCTTCACATCTCATTTGAAATGGAGAGGGTTGAAGCAGAACCGCAGCATCAGGTGATCACTAAAAGGGAAG